GAAGATACCACCGCTGAAGCATTAATACAATATTCGTAGAAGATACACCCTGAAAGCATTTAGAGCGACTGTGCAGTCTTTGTTGTTTGAATTTTACCTTAAAAATTTTGTGTGATGAAAACTTTGATGTATTTTTGTTATTGGTTAAAACTTTTGTTATTAGTGTGTATTATATGAATAAATACATACATTTCTCATTTCTTCTCTGTGAATTTCACTCAATGCTGTCTTTGTTAAGAAAAGGACAGTTGTTTGTTTTTTATAATATGTTCTTAATTGTTATTACTATGCATCATTTTATATTTTGAATCAGATCATGTATATAAATTCCAATTCATGCCTTTTAAAGGAAATTGTTTGTGTTAATTTTAAAGATGTAAAGTTTCTGTTAGAGGTCAATGAACAGTCTCATCACTCATTCCTGTAGATATCCTAACCAAGTACTTCAGTGTAATATTTTAGTTTGTATTGTGATCTAACCATAATGCTTTGGCGTGTTGTATGGTTATTATGATTTTCATTATTGTTTATAACTGTGTTATTATATGTTGTAATATGAATCATACTCCAGTTTTAGTCAGACTTTCTCTAAATGTGTATTGAAACGAAATGATGTAAATTGCAATTACTTTTAAAGCTCCTTTGTGGTAGAGAACACATATCATTGCCAGTTTCCATTATCATGTACTAATAACTCTGCCTAATTAATTCCTTTACTCTCATTAATTACAAACTGAAATGGAGCCATCATCATTTCTTCATATCAAACCCCCCAAAAGGGCATATGATTTATGCCAATATTTTTCACAATACCTCACACAGTCTCAGGATAAATGATACTGCAGACTGCAGTAAATACATAACACAGTAACTGCAACATCTTACTCCACAGATTTCTCCAACCAACTCACTCTCATACTCTCCTGCACATTCTAATGAGAAAACTGCGCTCAACCATACTGCGCACCGTCCTCCAACCCCATTGGAAAGGTAAACTGTAGTTGTCTTAAAATAAGGCATTTGAATTATGGAAATTCAGATATGTGGAGCCAGTATGTATTGGTGTCAGTCAGTGATGAACATTATAATGAGGTCTTGTCTGAATAAAGGGAAAATTAGGTAAGTTTTATTAGAGGTATTTTAGAATGATGTATCAATAACCACAGGTAAGGAATTTGTAATGCAAAAAAAAAATAATAATAATAAGAAAAAAAAATAAGGAAAAAATCCAGAGGAAAAAGGTATGGTATTGAAAATTACCGATGGCTTCATGTTTGACGTATACATGAGAAATGAGTGTATTTGTTTTTGTGTGTGTGCATTCGTGCGTGCATACATGGGAGTGTTTGAGTGTGGGTGTGTACATATTAGTACTGATATTTACATTAATATTAATGATTTTCTGTCTGTTTGTATGTGTAGTCCTACAAAAACACATTTACAAGCACACACATACCCACTCAAACATTCACACTCAAACATTTTTTTCCATGAGTGCATCATTGTTTATTGATAGGAAAGTTGAGAGAACAACTAGTCACAGATCCTCACTACAACATTATTTCACTACATGCAATATATCTCCAGTATTTATGGCTTAATATTTAATTGATTATTTGTCCTTACACAGGTATTCAAAAGGGTCATCCATAGAACATTAAATTCATCTACAGGGATTCAAAAATTATGATAGTTTCTAAATTATTTTGTAATATATTATGCTATATCAAGTAGTATGAAAAAAATCAGGGTTATATAATTTTGTAGATTCAGGTTAAAGGATATTTCTTGTTTCTTCTTTTTCTTTTTACGAGAATCTGTGTATCAGACATATGTATAGAAAGTTGTATATTTAGCACTATTGATATCTGCATCACTCACATTCACAGTGTTAATGTCAGCACAGGAAGACATGGTCTTGTGCTTGTTTCATCATCAATGAAACGATGGTTTAAAGGACATGGTTGTATTCCTCTTCACAACTGGAGTAAAAGTTAGGTCTGATATACATAATTAGACGAGAGTTAGCCACAGCAGCATATAAGTAAGTTGTGTTAACCTGTCCAACACAACACATGAAGAATGATTATATGATTATACATTATACATGCAACACATGATCATACATTTCCTGGTTTTACAGAGTGTAAGCATAGCAAGTAAAGGGCTACGCATTAATAAAATGCCTTTCATATAAACATAATACCATCAAGGAAAATGTTAAATCTGTGTTTACTTTGCGTATCATTTTCCGCAGAGATTAATAAATTTTCATTGACTTTTTCTCTTATGCTAAATTTTAGCTTCAACATTCTTGCTGCTAAAATCAGTGTTTTAAACCAATAAGCAGCAGAAGAATTTAAGCAAAACATTTGCACAGTGAAATTAAAGTGAGAGTTTTTGTTGTGACTGACTTGCACCCTTTAGTCGTCTTGATGCTTAAACACTGCAAAATGCAGTTCCTTACTTATTGTGGTTCCTATGATGTCTTATTTTGATACTGTACTGCTACTTCCTACAATTAACAAATTTTGATAATAACAAGAAACCATCATCACCAATATTTCTATTAAAAAATGAAGAATGTTTATTTTTTGATATTTAGACATGATAACCATTCAGTAAATCTATTTAAGAAACTGGTATCATATGTTAAACTCCTTAAGAATGTTCATTTTGAACATACTTTATGATATTTTAGAGCAATGCCTTTATAACAGCACACAAGACTATAATTATTTTTTTTATTATATTCACATATTTCAGATGTATTTTTTATTAGAAGAAAATAGATTTCATATAGCAAATTTAGAAAATAATGTTAGGAGGAAAACAGCATGTTCTTTCATGTTTTTATTGCCTTAGGCAGTTTTCATCAACTTTTTTTAACTTCAGAAAAATAGGTTGTGTTTGCTGTTGTTGTATTTCAAATTAAGGAGTTTAAATGGAAAAAATAACATGTAATGTAAATAGTGCACTGCAGAACCACTAGTATAATTCTGTGCTGTTTGGAATTAACACAATTTTCTCATATAAATATTCTCCTTGTGCTATAGGTTAATAATTTGTATCTATGCTGTTAACACTGCACACCTTATACTTTCTTATTATTAACCTTAGATGTTAACACTACTCATATGTTAATATTATGTAACAGTATGTACATATTATAACATATTAGAAAGATAAAATTGAATGTATTTTCAACTCATTGTCCATATTCTGGTCATCTATAAAACACCACATCCTTGGTTATGTTAAATGTTAAATTGCAATGAAATCTGTCTACAGCTACAGTTCATTTCTTGTTGTTATCCTCAGGTATTACTGTAAAAATGTTCCCTTGTTTTATTGCACACAACCAAGAGGTGGTGTTTTACTCAGCCAAGAAGTGCATGACCCTTTACTTGACCTTGCTCTTCCACTTGTCCTCTTCCTATGTAGCTCACAGTCCATGGGGGAAGAAGAGGAGGGAATCCCTATGCGTCCTCTTAGGATAATGAACGGGGATCCTGAGAGAAGAGCAAATCTAGTAATAAAGGAGTAAGTATTGCTGCTTTTCTTGGAACACTGGGAGTGTAGTGGCTGAGTCCCAATGCTTACTGCAGCCTAACCAGGTGAACTCAACCTCCTCCATTTTGTCTGCAGTTAAGCAGGACCTGCTACTAGGAGGACCATGATTTGTCATTATCCTGTGAAGGTGACTTCACATGTGATAGCATGGCAAATTTTTTATCTATTTTTTCAAATCTTGTTCTTTCCTTTTTCTGGTGATATAAGCAGATATCCCCCTTTCAAAGGCTGTGCTATGCATGTCATATACTGGTAT